AAGATTGAATTGTATGACTCATTAATCCTCCTAATCTAAATAAAAACCTTATCTACCTTGCAAATCATTAGACCATATTTTATGGTTTTAAAATAATTGGGTGAACTAGATGGCTACACTTGTTAGACATTCATAAGTCTAGAAGGGTAGCACTTGGTCTTTTTCCTTGGTGGGAATGAAACTTATGAGTCCAACTATACTTTGTCAGCTTAGGTTCAAGATTTACATTCAATTAGTTTCATATTATTTATTTAAATGTATTAGTGGTTGACTCTTATTTATGAAATAAAGAGTGTATTTGAAATCCATTTCAAGTTTATAATGCATTAATTTTTCCTCAAACCAAATACCCAAATTTAATGACCCCTAAATAGCTCCTAAGCCAAATTTGAGTGAGCTAAAATATTATTAGGCTTGAATCATTAGACAAACAAATCTATATTTTTATTTATATTTGGCATGTTAACTTGTCAAGCCGAACATGAGTTATTAGTCTATTATATGTGAATGAATGATCTAATATATGTGAATGTATAAAACCATGAATCACATTGACATGAGAGAAGACTAGTCAACCTTGTCAAACAGATCAACAACAACGATGCCAATAGTACATTAAAATTGTAACTTAGTTTAAGTAATCTAAGGTTATACGATCGAGTTTTATCTAGATGAAGAGTTGACTTAAGTTGTCCATATTTGGCATGTTAACTTGTCAAGCCGAACATGAGCTATTAGTCTAGTATATGTGAATGAATGGTCTAATATATGTGAATGTATAAAACCATAAATCACATTGACATGAGAGAAGACTAGTTAACCTTGTCAAACATATCAACAACAACGATGTCAATAGCACATTAAAATTGTAACTTAGTTTAAGTCATCTAAGGTTATACGATCAAGTTTTTTCTGGATGAAGAGTTGACTTAAGTTGTCTAACTTACCAAGTAATTTTGTTCACGAATCAAAGATATTTACTAACACTTGATAGGATACTAGGAATGCGACAAGTGACAAATTCATGTGGATGCTCTATTTGATAATAATTCAACTCGTATTCAACATATAATTGTTGCAAATAATCTAAGTTTTTTTTTAATGGTAATAAATTGCTAACTAATTTTTATGTAATATTACTTATAAAAAATTAATTGTAGCTCTTTCCATGGATTGTAACCTTTATCTAAACCTATAAATAGGGTGCAAACAATAAGCCATAGACATCGTATCATTTCCTCAAGTTTCTACCTTTGATAAATTCATTAAATCTAATAGCTTCTCTCTAATTTCTCTCTTGTTTATTAACCAAACTTCTCAACAAGGTTCTAGTATTACATTCGGACAAATTATAATCCAACAATATATACATATATAGAAATAAACATATATAAATATTGATACGTATAAAAAAGTTCATCTAATCAAATAGAAATCTTAATATAGGTATGTCAATTAAAAGCATTCAAAATCAAAATCAAGATTATCTGAAATTCACTTTATAATCTAAACTTGTATCTTAATGAGCAAGACAAATTTAATGATTTCAAGATGGCTCAAATTTAGGGATATTAATTTGATTAGATATTTTAAAAATATCAATTGATAAAAAGGATCAGTCTAAGCCATCTGATTGAGAATTTGAGGGTCATGATAAATTAAAGAAAATAACAGCCAAACAAAAATATGTAAATAGACCTTCATTCCGTGCATGAATGAAACCTTTAGTTGGCGAGAGCTCACATATTTAAAAAATCTCAAAGCTCTCATGGCTTATTGATATCAATGGATCTCACCAATGATACCAATGATCTTTGTGGCTCAATTGTCCATGCATTTGTTAATCAACACATGTTTGGAGCTGCACAATTGTTGTGGTGAATTGATTGTTGCTTTACGGCAACAAATACAGACATTCACAAATACCAAACCATAATTGCTCGCAATTGATACCTCCCCTTTTGTCTGGCATTAACAACTCATTATTTCTTTAGTATTTTTTCACAATTCTAGTATGAGGCCAACCACGCAATTCATTCTTCTCCACACATAAAATTGAGCATAGTTTTGTAATCTTCATCTTGTATTGTGTATTATTTTCGTTATGCGAAGTCCCACAATTTTTTTGGAAGATTATAGTTTATTCATTTTTAAATTTCTATAATCCTAATATTATAATAGTTTAACTTCATTACACAAACATTAAAAGTAAAAAAAAAAAACAAAATTGAAATTGATAGCTATTTTTGTAATTTTTATAAGACAAAATTAAATAAAAAACATGAAATGCAGATGAACAGTAGTCCGCCCTGATGAACTGTGCAATCAACCCTACAATGCTGCCCTGAACCATCTACATTGATTGCCCTCCCCCCCCAATTGGAATGCCTGTCAGGATTTGAATGGTGGGAAAGCCTCTAATCGGTCTCTTCTCCCTGCTGCTTCTATTGTCTGTAACTACTGACTGTTCTTCCCAGTTCCGCCACTTAGGTCGGCTCTCCTTCCGTTTCTTCTTATCATATGCTTCTTCATTTCTTCATTCTTCCCAGCCATTCGCCTCTCTTTCTCTCTCTCTCTCTCTTCAGGCAAAACTTGCAATACCTTCTTCAAAATCGTCAAATAAACTCCCTTTATTATGTTTCATGTTGCCGCCATTATATTCTTTTTTCAAAATTAGTTTCTTGGCTCCTAAGCTTGTGAGTACAGTTCTAAAATTGCTGTTTCACCGAGTCTGGTTCTCTTTTTTCCCCAAAAACTGCGTCTTTCTTTCAACTTGTTGGCTTCCTTAATGGTCCCATTCGTCCTCTTTTGCTACAAATATCTTGAAATTTACGGCGCCGGATAGTAGGTTGCTCTACGTGCTTGGATGCTATGAAGAAGGCAGGGCATCGAACAAGATAGGTTTGGTCGAAAGAGGAGAAGGACAAAAGAAAAGGGGCTTGTAATTGCTAAACATAAATAAAACAAAGGAAAAGGTGGAAGAAGAATAAGCAAACAGGAAAGTGGAATAAAAGGGAGGAGGGCAAGGTAGGAAGAGAATTAAAAAAGTGTTTCTTTTATGGAGTGGGAGTTCAAGATGCCTCCGTGGGATTTAACAGAACTGGAGCAAAATACTGGTGAGGCTAACTTAAGCTCAGTGGTAGGTTCAAGTGGGAGCAGAACAGGAAGCCTTGACTGCTCCGTTGATCTCAAGCTTGGGGGTTTGGGGGATTTTGGAATGGCTGATAAGTGGAAGGAGGAGAGTAGAAGTTTTGAAATGCCGATGGAGATGTCTGTAGCAGTGGCGGCAGGTGGGCAGTTCAAGCGGCCTCGAGTGCTAAGCAGCGGAAGCCAGAACGTTTCATGCCTTGTTGATGGGTGCAGAAATGATCTCAGTCATTGCAGGGAGTATCACAGGCGGCATAAGGTCTGTGAGGTACACTCTAAGACTCCTATAGTGCTGGTTGGCGGCCAGGAGCAGAGATTCTGCCAGCAATGCAGCAGGTAATGCCGACGGATAATTTGCTGTAATTTCTTAAATTTACTAGTTGATTTTTATTCATTTGGAACTGGATATATGTTCTTGTCGTTCAGATATCATGAATCTGAAAACCTGCAGCTCTTCCAAGTGACTGATTTTACCTGTTATACTCAGTAGGAAAAGAGAAGCTTTGGATGGCTTCTTGTTCAAAACTTTAACTGGAAACTCTGTTTTTATTTCCCCCTGTTGCCTTTATCTTTAGAGAACGCAGTTCGGCTCTCGCAATTTTGGAGTATTTTGTTTTTGTAACTTCTGGTTCTGTATTTGTTAGCAATAACTAATATGCTCTTGTATGCGGTATTTGATGGCTAATTAGCATGATTTGCAGGTAATTGGTAATTACTTTCAGCATGTGATCTCGTTAGTTATATGAGGCACTCCCCCCCTCTCTCTCTCTGTCTCTCTCTTGGAGGGATGATGTTTTTTTGTGGTTTGATTTCTGGAATTTTATCAGGCTGTGATAATTGGGCTTATTTTAATGAAAATATCAAGAAAACTTTTTCCCCTTACGAGGATTAGGATAGTTAACTTTTCCCTCTATTTTTTTTTTCTTCTAAAAAAATTGTGACAGCGAAACTTGGTGGGAATTTGAGGCAAGAGAAGTCCATCAAATACTTGGTACAAACTTTAAATGCCTTCACTAAGATAACTAGAATTTTCAGGTGCCTAGCTTTCGGTCTTCCTTTTGCTTTAGCTAGTTGTTGGTTTTTTACTTTAACTCTTCTGATATTCTATCTACCACTTTAAGCGACAATATCTCTCTTCGATATCTCCTACAATTCCATCTCCCTTTGCTTTTACTCAGTTTTATTTGCGTTGGGAGTTGTCTCTCTTTTAGTTTTGTTCTACTTTAAAAGTATGCTTTTGTTTTCCTTCTCGGGTGTTTTTTTCTTAAGTGTGTCACAGACGTCTCATTAATGGGATTGGTGCTCGCTGTCTCCAGTTTTCACATTTGTGCTTTCTCTTGATGCTATTGTTCTCTTATTTCCCTTGCAATATGTTGTCTTATCTTAGATAATGTTTTGCAGAAAGAATAATTTCTGAAGTACTTGAATTCTTTACAGTGCCCTATTGCCTCACAAACCTAAGTAATCAGACATAATTTCATATGTCAACCTTGTTAAGGGTGGAAATTAAAGATAATCGCAAGAAGATTATGTAGGAAACATAGATTTTGCGTGATTTTTTAGATTGATCAGCTTACATTCCAAGTAATAATTTATTTCAGATATTGCTCCTGATGTTATAATTATAGGAGATGAAATATTTCAATTACTAACAGGCCATGGACTGTAAGGAAAGAACGCACTTTAACGCAGCATAAGTATAATGAGCAACAAATTGACTGTAAAAAAGGATCACAAACCTCAAAAACCATAAAATTTTACATGATTTGGTTTAAATAAGCCTAATTTTATGACGCTACAAAGATCAAATTGTCCACTAAACTTCAAACGGAGTATACAAAGGATTATACTTTATATAAAGTTAAAGATATGGAGAAAACCATGATGTATTTTTTATTTTATTTTTTTATATTTTTTTGTCTTTTTTTAGTTTTTTTAACCACAATTTAATTTAATTAAGAGAGAATGCATCAATTATTATGACTACTATTGTTGCTCTAGTTACTCTTTTTCCCTCATTATTATAGGATCTATTTCCCTATTATTATTGGAGTTCAAATCAGAACCACTCTCACTCTCTTTGTAAGTACTCAAAAAAATATATTTTTGTAAGATGAGACTCCTTTCTCTCTTCCTTATGCTCTCCTCTTCTAATTGTTTTTTTGTAGTAAGATGCATCAACACAATGCAATCATCTTTTTATACAAAGATTAAGTATGGTGGGTAGCAATTTAACTTGGTTTGTGGCCATTAAGAAAAAATGTTTTTACATACCCACCCCCTATTAATTCCTATTACATATCAAGCAGCCAAACTCAAATATTTACATTTTAACCATCCTAAACATCCACATTCTTCAAAGCAATCACCCTCGGTTATTTCTCGCTATGGAGTTTCCCTCTGTAGAAGGTTGCATTCAGTGGCTCCGGTGAGAGGGAGGAGGAAGCGAAGGAAAGAGCTTGTGAGCACAAATGCGATCCTGGGCAAAAGTTGAATGAGGCTAAGGAAAAGGTGAGGAAGCTGAAGGAAGATGCAAAGGAAAAACTGGAGAGAAAGCGGAGGAAGCAAAGGAGAAGTTGAGAGAGAGTACATCGACAGCATGAAAGCCAAGGCCAACGAATACTCTACTGCGCAGAAAAAAGAGGAGGCCAATGATAACATCAAAAAGAGAAAGCCAGCGAGTGTAAGGACTCAGCAGCAAAGAAAACAGATGAGGCCAAGTACAACATCTAAGATAAAACTAGGGAGTACAAGGACTCAATGGCACAAAGGGCAGTGGAAGACAAGGAGAAGCATAAGAAATATAAAGACCCTGCGGTGACGAAAGCAGAGCAGGACAAGAAGTTGATAGAGTAAGATCATAAGGGCCAATCACAGCACGAGATTGGAGGTGAGGGCGAACAAAGGAGAGAAACTCGGGGCTATGTAATTGGTCCATAGTTGGTGACATACATGGAAGGTATATTCACTTTTTAAAAATAAAAATGATGGTCATTTTGATGTGATATGAAAGATTTGGGGGTTTTAAATGTAAAAAAGTAAAGTTTAGGTGTTAGATATTTAAATACATAAGAATTGGGTGGTATGCATGTAAATGTCCCTTTATAAATTAAAAACTCCTTTATTGACTGGTTGTACAAACCGAGCTTCAAACATAGGACATTATGGGAAGGGAGATATGTTAGAAACGGTGGAGCCCGGTCTACTATGCTTGGGCGGTTACTTTGCTTTGGAGAGTCACACATCTTCACAAATAACCATACCCGCCTTCCTCTTTTACGAAGTGAAGCACCTCTTCGCTCCCTCCTGTTCGTGATAAAAGCTTCAGATGACTCTCCTTCGGTTTAGTAGTCACGCTTTGAGTTTCTTCTTCGGTTTCCTCGGGGCAGAGGAAGATAAGTGCAAGGAGGAGCAGTTCCTTGCGGCAGAAGGAAGAAGAAGGAAGAAGAAGAAGATTGTTTTCCCTGGGCTTCTTCTTGGTGGCTTATGGCAGAAGAGAAATTGAGTTTATTTCTTTTGTAAGTTTGTTTTCTTCGGTGTATCTCGGTGTAGAGTTTTCTTCGGTGTAGAGAGAGAAGAACAGAGAGAGAAGAAGAGAGAGCAACGAAGAGTGATAGATTCCTCTTGTAAGTCAAGGTGATCGACTGGTGTAAATTCCTGAAGTTAATAAAATCCTCTGCAACTCCGTGGACGTAGGCAATTTGCCTAACCACGTAAATATGTGTGTTCCGCTGTGTTGTTTTTTTCTGGTATGATTTTTCTTGTTCTATTTTTTGCTTCGTCTATCTTTCTTCTGTTTGTTTGATTTCTATATATCATAATAACTTGTATATCTAGATCTCGCAATAACAACAACTGGTATCAGAGCTTTGTTCGAATCTGAGAAAGAATGATGACTGCAGATGAAGTGAATGTTTCAGGGATCGAGAAATTTGATGACACAGATTTTTATTGAAGAATGCAGATAATGCAGATAGAGGATTATCTTTATGCAAAGAAACTTCATCTTCCGTTATTGAGGAAAAGACCTAAAAAGATGGATGAGGCTGAATGAAATTTGTTGGATCAACAGATTTTGGGGGTTATTTGATTGACCTTATTGAGGTTCGTTGCACACATCGTCGTCAAGGAAAGGACGATTGCAAGAACTACTACAGTTCTCATGGCAGCTTTATCAGGTATGTATGAAAAGCTATCGGTGAATAATAAGTGAATAATAAGGCGCACTTGATGAAGAAGTTATTCAATTTGAAGATAGCGGAAGGTATTTTTGTTGCCCAACACCTGAATGTTTTCAATACTATCACAAATCAATTGTCGTTTGTGAAAATTGATTTTGATGATGAGATATGTGCACTGATCTTGTTGGCTTCATTGTCAGATAGTTAAGGAGTCATGAGGATAGCAATTAACAGTTTTGCAGGTAAATCTAAACTGATATACGATGATATTCGTGATTTGATTTTAACTGAGGAAGTTCGCAGGAAAGGTTCTAGCGAGGTCTCAGGTTCGAGTTCGACACTTAATGTTGATTTTAGAGGGAGATGACATGACAAGAACTCAAGTATAGGGAGATCAAAATCAAAGTTTAGTGAGCATGCAACCTGTTGGAATTGTGGCAAGGTTGATCACATAAAGAAGAACTGCAGGAATTCTAAGAAAATGGAGAATGATAGCGCAAATGTGGTATTTGAAGAATCACAGGATGCACTATTGTTGACAGTTCATAGTTCTGTTGAAGACTTGATATTGGATTCAGGGGCTTTGAATGTGGTAGAAAATCTACCAGAGGCCACAGTGCAGGGCAGTGATGAAATTGAAAAGGAAAGTGGGTCCGGGGCACCCATTCCTATTATTCCACAGACAGATGTTGAAGAACCACAGAGCTATGAAGAAATCTTGCAAGATGAAAGTTTGAGCAAGTGGGAGCTGACAGAACTTCTACCAGGGAAGAAGACATTGCATAACAAGTGGGTGTACCACGTGAAGACTGAGCGTGATGTCAGTAAGAGATACAAGGCTAAATTTGTTGAGAAAGGCTTTCAGCAGAGGCAGAATATTGTCCATGCAGAGGGAGTTGTAAGAAGAGACAAGAGTGACCCAGAAAATAACTTAAAGGCGCAAAACTATGTAGAGCCTATTGATATGTTAACTAAGGGTGTTACTCTTGAGAAACTGAAGTTGTGCACAACTGCAGTTGGTCTTCTGGAGTAAAGACAGAGACTTTGAGTTGCAGAGGTGGAGGATACATGTTGAAGAAAAAGGCGACACTGCGAGTGGAGGATATTTGTTTAAAGAAGATGTTGCAGCCTGTGTACTGGTTTCCAAGTGAGAAAATTGTTAGAAACGGTGGAGCCCGATCCACTATGCTTGGGCGGTTACTTTGCTTTGGAGAGTCACAAGAGTCACACCTCTTCACAAATAACCACTCTTATAACCACTCTTGCCTTCCTCTTTTGTGAAGTGAAGCACCTCTTCGCTCCTTCCTGTTCGTGATAAAAGTTTCGAATGACTCTCCTTGGGCTTAGTAGTCGCGCTTTGAGTTTTTCTTCAGTTTCCTCGAGATAGAGGAAGGTTCCCTCGGGGCAGAGAAAGAGAAGTGCAAGGAGGAGCAGTTCCTTGCGGGAAAAGGAAGAAGAAGGAAGAAGAAGAAGATTGTTCTCCCTAGGCTTCTTCTTGGTGGCTTGTGGCAGAAGAGAAATTGAGTTTATTTCTCTTGTAAGTTTGTCTTCTTCGGTGTATCTCGGTGTAGAGTTTTCTTCAATGTATCTCTGTATAGAGAGAGAAGAACGGAGAGAGAATAAGAGAGAGAGCAACGAAGAGTGAGAGATTCCTCTTGTAAGTCGAGGTGATCGACTGGTGTAAATTCCTTAAGTAGTAAAATCCTCTGCAACTTCGTGGACGTAGGCAATTTGCCGAACCATGTAAATATGTGTGTTCCGTTGTGTTGTTCTTTTCTGGTGTGATTTTTCTCGTTCTATTTTTCGTTTCGTCGATCGTTCTCCTGTTTGTTTGATTTTTATATACCACAACAACTGGTATATCTAGATCTCGCAACAACAACAAGATATTCAGTTCAAGAACCCGAACACTTTTTCCCCATATGCGACACACAGAAAATCCAAATTGGACTACGAAGTTCAAGTTTCATTGTAAATTTGGTTGAGTGCTATTGTTTTTCATGTCCAAAGTGGAGGACCAAGATTCAAACCATTGCAGGAAAAAAATAAATAAAACAAAATAAAATTAAATAAAAGACCAAAGTAGTCCATATGATATAATGAAGAATTATTACAGACATGCTTAAATTTAGATTGTTTCGTGTAATGAGTAAATTGAATGCCATACTACAAACTCCTGTTTTTCTTTGATTTCCATTTTTTCATCGTATCATTTTATTATATTTGACTTGCTGCCTGATGAAGCAATTGCAGATCTGTTGATGATACACCATTACCCTTAAGTTGAGATTTGTACTCGAAGAAACATTGCATGTATGCTCTATTCATGGGTGCCAATGCTTTTATTTTCGTTTTCATTAATGTGAATTTTTTATCACAAACTTTGTTAAGCCACAATCACTTTGTTACATTCTATTACTACAAATTTGCACGAGCATTAGCTTCTCAATTGGCAGAACTAGTTGTAGGAATTATAACATTGGAGGCATTAGGCTCAGCCTTAGATGTTCGCTCGTGTGAAGTGAGATGCTGAAAAGAGATGTACTTCACTTGAATTAATTTATTTTATTTATGATGAATAACTCAAAGGATTTGAAAATGATAGTTGTATTATTAAATAATGCTTGGCAGATTAATAAATTTTTAAATTTCCTAGTTTTTCTTGTTCATCTTGTAAAATATACTATCATGTTGAGAAATTTAGGGCAAAGAAACGAGAATCGACACAAATTCAGAAAGAAACACAAAGATTTAACGAGGTTTGGCAATGATGCCTATGTCCTCGGGAGCAGAGCGGCGACTTTCATTCATTTTCAGAAAATAGTATAGGATGTTCCTAGGGTTACAAAACAAGACATATATATAACCCTATAGTATAAAATGTAATTACAAAATTACCCCTGTACCGTACCCACGGGCGTTGCCCCCACACCCCCAAACCACATAACGAAACTCCCCCGATTGGACAAATGCTTCTGCTCCACTCCGCTTGTGAACTCCGCTCCGCTGGTTCACTCTGTTCCGCTCCAGCATCTGTCCCTTATCTGACATATGAGCCATACCTAACATATCATAAACAAGAACCCCTCAGACATAATTATTTTTAAAGTTGAAATGCTTGAATTGTAGTATTTATACCTAAGGTTCAATGTCACCTTTATTTCTTTCTATTTCATTTTTTTCTTTAATTTGTAGAAGTAATGTCTTGGTGGCTCCTCTCTCTCCAACCAATAAAGAAGCTAACCACCTTTAGAATAGGAATTTTGTTTCTTACTCTAATTGACCAGTGGATTCCAAGCATTTGAAGGGCTGACTTATTAAATTGTATGGCTATATTTTTGCTACTTGAGATATGATTTCGTGGAGTATTGGTTTGCTTCCTACCTTTGAATGTTTCTCTTGTCTAAATATCCATGTTATTTAAGGAGAAATTGATGTGCCTTGGCCCATGTTTTTTATTCTGAAGGTTTCACTTGCTTGTGGAGTTCGATGAGGTTAAGCGAAGTTGCAGAAAACGCCTTGATGGGCATAATCGGCGTCGAAGAAAACCGCAGTCAGATTTGATTTCTGGTAATTTGTTTCCAAACCACCATGGTATGCTCTTAAGCCTATTCATCTTTTTCCCTTGTACTTCATTCATGATAATTTCTAGTAGAATATGCCAGTCTTGGAAGAATTTGAGTATTTTCTTAATTAATACTCCTACTAAATGCAAGGACATAGTCACCCATATTTTAAGGAAAGTCAAGCAGGAAACTCATTGTCGCCATACCATAGAGGGTGCATTGAAAATAAAGCTAGTCAATTATTTTGCAAAATAGTTGTAAATAATATGTATTTTCTTGTTAAATTATGCTTTATATCTAGGAATTGTCACTGCTGGAACTTTAAATTACAATCATATTTTTTAAACTAAGTGTCAAACTGGTCCCTTGCTTTTTGTAATGCTACATTTACTCCCAGAGTTTATAAAAGTGTCAACTTTGTCCCCAAATTTCTTAATGCGAAAACATAGTCCTCATTTTGGACTGTTTCAACCCATAGTAAAAAAAAGCAAGGATTAAATTGACACTTTTATAGATCTGAGATTAAAATGATATCATGTAAATAGTCAGAGGACTATTTTGGCATTTTACTCTTTTAAAATAGTGTGACTTATTAATTAATAGATGTGTTCGTTTAAAAAATGTAATGTAACATTGATTGTTGTAGCAAAACTAGAAAAAATAGATTGAAAAAAAAAAACTGCATGACAGATAATAAGCATAGCACTCATTAATTTTCTAAAAAAAAAAAAAAAAAAAAAAAAAAAAAAAAAAAAGATTTGATGGTTTAGATATATGTACAACCGAGGGTAGAAAGATGCAAAAATAAAATGATTAGATAAAATTGGATGTTAAAAGTTTATTGATGAGAAAGAGTAAATCAAAATGTATATAAACTATGCAAAATTGTGCTCCAAGTAACAACCCGAGCATCAGTCAACACAGAACAAATGGAGTATTAAGATTTACAAAGCCAATTTCAAATATGGAGGATATGGTTAAAAAAAAAGGAAGATTTACAGACATACGATTCCATTCTTATGTATTTACATATCAAACAATTAAACTTCATTTTTAGATTTACAAAGCCAATTTCAAATATGGAGGATATGCTTTAAAAAAAAGGAAGATTTAAATACATACCATTCCATTCTTATATATCAAACACTTAAACTTCATTTTCTACACATATGCCACATTACACACTCACGAAAGGGTGTATTTCACGTTCTAAAACATAAAATAGTGGTGTTCTTTATGCAATATGAAACATATGCCACATTACACACTCACGAAAGGGTGTATCTCACTTTCTAAAACATAAAATAGTGGTGTTCTTTATGTAATATGAAAGATTTGGATGATATTATTGTTAGATATGTAACTACATAGGAATTGGTTGTTATGTATGTAAATGCATGGCTAAAGTGTGTGTTACTAATAATAATCATATATTTTATCACTATTATTCAAAAAGTGCGACTACAAAGGCTAAAGAGTATGAAAAATAATACATTCACATTTTTATTTGGCTAAATAATACAAACAGTCTCATCAAAATATAATCTGCTTATATATGTTTTATCTGTGCTATATTCTATCAGTTTGTCTTCCCTTTTTTAGCATTGCTTTGTAAGAAAACATTACCATGCACCACAGGAACCAGGTTTCCAACCTACCCTCAAGTATTTCCAGCTGCTGCAACAGACTCAGCCCGCAGTACTATCCTTCCAAGTAAAGAAGAAGCGCTGAGCAGCCACCAGCCTTCCCCGCTGCATTTCATCAACCGCTCAGCGCCACCACCGCCATCACACCATTTCAGCAATTCCTTCACTTGGAGCTTCAAGGAAGGCAAGCAACTCCCCTTCCTCCAAGACGACAATGAAATGACGCTCAGCAGCCTGACACCACTGGAACCTGCTGCAACCATCTCTTCCGCAACAGAGAGCAGTAGTAGCAGAAAGATAATCTTCACCAATGGATTACCTCGGCACGTCGACTCTGATTGTGCTCTCTCTCTTCTGTCATCCTCCACGCATACACCTAGCATCAATCTTGGCCATGAAATGTCAGTCGATAGGGTCCCGATCTGTGGTCAGCCCATGCTCTCTAACCTAGAATACGGCGCTGGACTTGGTCTATATTCTCATATACAAGCAACCTCTAACAATGTCTCGACGGCGGGGGTTTTGTGCTCTGGTGTTGAGAATGAGCGTGGGGGCACCGATGCGGTTTCAGACGCCATAGAAGCTGACCTGCATTGCCAGAGTATATTCCATGATGAGGCGGAAGGGACTTCGGATAGGGTTTCCCGGTCTCTCCCCTTCTCATGGTATTAGATCAGGTGTTTGTGATTCGGAAATTGCCTTCTTCCAGCTTTGGCTTCTTTGTTTTCTACCTGAGTAGTGAGATTCCTTGGCTTTAGATCGGATGGAAGTTTTAGTGATTTAGCTGATAATTTATCTGACAATTGCATACATGGCACTCAGATTTTGCTATTTACAAATTTAGCATGCTCTATCATACATTTTTTACATTCTCGGTCATATATCAAATTCATGATAAAACCCAAGTTATGTTTCTTATTTTTATCAATTTATCAATGGTAGGATTGTGGAATGCATAAATGCGTCGGTTTGATAGTTCAAAAAATTATTTCGGTGCTGGTTTCGTAAATAACATTGTCTTGAAGTCGTGTATGTAATTATCCCAAAAAAATGACATGAGGATGATAAACTGAATATAGTATAATCATAAATGTTAAATTGAGCAACCAAAATGTATGTTGGTTGGGAATTTAAAATGTGGTTAGAAGAGGCATCAACAAGATAGATAAATACGATTAGCATGAAAGAGGAGATGATTAACTAAAAATAACATTTAAATTTTATGTAAAATATACTGATATATTATTGTTTATTATAATATCTATACTATAATTGCATCCATCTCAAATGCTCATCAGATTAAGATCTATTTGGGACTATTATAACCATCTACAAAATTAATTATGAAACTTTGTAAACAATTTTAATAAAAAGGAAAAATAATGTGAATAATATAGATTTTTTTTTATAAAAAAATCCTGAACAAATTACTATATTGGATTATCCATTTTAACAAAGTCAAGTTAGAGAAATATCATCATAAGAATTAAAAATAATAATAGTTATAGCCGAATGTTGCTTTGGCATCTGATTGTAAAATTGTGAAGAAATTATCTCAAATGCAGAGTAAAGCTTTTGAGTTAAAGCGATAAATACCATTCCTTTTGGTGTATCAGTCTCAAGTTCTTAAATGATGCAATAACAACAATTTAGACACTGCGTATGAATTTACAGCTTGTTTCCAGGGTTAGGCAAAGCCTGTAACTAAGGTTGTGTTTGGTGTAATGGTGTTAAGTTCTTATTTAGCTTTTTGCTTATTTTCTTCTGTTGCTGTGTTTTGGTTCACGTGTGTCATTACGAGTACGGTGTAGTGTTGTTTAGTTTCTCTTTATCTGTTTGCTGTAACCTATATGTATATAGAGTGTCATTAATGTTATGTGCATCTCTTTTTATTCTACAATAAATAAACATTCTATTTCCTTTTGCTTCTATTTGCATGTCATCTGGGTAATAGAGTGTTAGCCTCTTAGCTGTTCTTTTTCTCTCCGTTGGCTTGGCTGCTCCTCTCCCTGGTGTTTCTTCGCATCCTGGCTCCTCTCTTCATCACGGCTCAATTCTTTTTCTCCCCGCTTTTCTCATGAGTTTCCGATCAAAGTCTTCTATCACATTGCCATGGCAAACAATCTGAGTAAATCTCTACCAACTAATCGGCACATACCAACCCAGCTGAAATTTTTATTGGGAAACATTGAAAATGTCTTTTCTGCTGAACATATTGTCGATAATCATCCCATTTGGAGGGCACATGTGCTGGAATTATTTCGTACCAATGAGTTTGAGTGCCTTCCTTGTCACCGTATTAACCAATTCATCCTAGATTCTTTAGGAATTGATATTCCCTATCCTGATTATAGCAAATGGGTTTTCATGGATCAAAATCTTGTTGCCGCCTTGTTGTCTCCCCATCTATTTTTCACTATATTCTTAATCTTGAAACTTGTGTTGAAATTTGGAGCACTGTAGAACAACGACTTCAATCATCCAATAGATCTCGCATTCTCCAAATCAAATATGAAATACACAATGTTTCAAATGGAGATAAAACCATGAATATCTTTCCAAAATCAAATACAAAGTGGATATTCTTGCAACTGCATGAGTAATTTTTTATGTCGAAGGCACAATGCTTTATACTTTTAATGGCCTTCCCTCCACCTATCATGCG